AAGGCAATCAAAATGAAGTTACCTCCGATTGGGGGTACATCCATTAATCACCGTAAAACCAAAAGAAATTGGAGTAGAAGAAAGCAGAGCCAAACAAAAAAAAAAACACAAAATACAAGAACAGAAAACGATTTAAAACAAATTAATAGTGGCACAGAACATAAAGGGATAGTAGATTCCAGGCTAAGGGGTTCGAGCTGTTTCAATGTTTAATTAGTTTGCAGAACAATAGCCGCAGGGATGGGGCTATGGCTTTAGTTATTCCCTGTTGTTGTGGTTCTCCTACCAAGTTTGAGTTTAATTAAAGCCACAAGCCGACAACCGGCAGTACAAAGTATAGATATTTGATAGAAACCAACATTTTTTGGAAAGAATATCCATGAAAGTCGGAAATTGCAAGAACCAGTTAAAACTAAGAGCCTTGCTTTGGTGAAATATTTATTAAAATAATATAAAAGGAATATTAAAATAAAGTAGAATCCTATACCTACAGATGATAAAGGTCCATACTATAAGATACCCGAAACGAAAAGGAATACGAGGTAGGAGGGCAGGCTAAGCAGGACTCTTGCTTATTATTCTTTTCAAATATTTATGAAAGTAAAATAAACAAATTATTTAGAAAAACATGAGAAACCTTCAAGTACCGACTCCTGTACAAGCAAATAAAATCAAGACCACAGAGGTCTTAGTTTCTTTTCTTTTAATGAAAAGGAAGGCTTCAGTCGGCAAATTATTAAAATTGTGAGAAAACCTCAAAAAATTACACAGAACCCAAAAAACCGAGTCAAAAATAAACCAACAGAATAAAGCATAAAATTGTGTGGAAAACATAAACACAAATTATATGCAAAAGCAAGCCCACAATTGGGAGGCAAAAACAGCTCAAATAAAAAACGATGACAGCAAATAAAATAGGCGAGCAAGTATAAAAAATGCTAAATAAAAATTAAATTCTGTTCATGCCAAGCACGAAACAAGGAAAATGGAAAACCAGCAAAGGAAAAGAATGAAAAGTCGTAGCCGGAGGGTGGCTCAAAAGGGGGAGTGGCTCGTAAGTTGCCACAAGGCCTCAGGCGAATTATTTGGGGGCAAGGATGACTGGATGGGGCTGGATGTGGGGGTTGGCTGTCGCACAAATTTTTAGTTAATTAAAACTAAAAGTGAAAATGCGCAAATTGCGGGTAATAAAAACGCTTAAAGCGACACAAGGGACACCAGAAGGGGCAAGGATAACCAGAATGGAATAAAGAGTAGACGCGAAAATAAGCGGGCAGGACAACAGCCATGAAAGGATACAAACGAGATGATGACATAATGTAAATAGTATAATTTAACATATTTTTATAATGGGTATCATACGTACCCTTTAATATCAAAAGTTCTTCTAAAAATATACTTTTTAGTCCTATATTTGTGGTTTAAAAAGTTGAGCTTTTGTTAAAAAACTATATGATACCCGATACTTCTACATTAAATATAAGCTAGGTAGGCTAGATAAGACCTAATCTTCTAAAAAAGAAAAATAATATACTTCAAAAGTACCGGGTATAGATATGCAGATTCCTTTTATAAGCATACAAAAAAAACAAGATCAAAAAAGGGGGAAAAAATTAAAAGACCGGCATGAGAACGAAAAACAAATGCAATTTACAATGCTAACACTAAAATTGGGCAAAGAACCAACCAAAAAACCGTCGGAATGAAAAAAAAACGTGGCTGTGAAATAAGAAAAATTTTGTTTGGACTGCAAAGCAGGCTGCATAAATGAGGAAAACGGCTGCAGAGGAAAAACCTGTGCGAAAAGCAGCGCGTGGAAAATAATGCCAGTCCAGTGGAGGAAAAAAAGGAGAAATGGGGGTAAATTGCGTACAACCAGTGGGTGGGGCTGGGGGCGGCATTGTTTAGTTGGTGAAATGCTGGACAGCCGGGTACAACGGAATGTGTTTCGGAAAATCGGGTCTGGGGGTGGAAGAAAAAGGAAGGCGCCGCAAAAAACAAGGCGACTAGTTAACAAAAGCCAGTATGCTGACAAAAAAGTGGACAGAAATGCAGGAGAAAGGGTCTTCTTTGTTGTGTTTAAGGTGACAAAGAATTAGCAGGGCCACAAAAGGATACCAGAAGGCAAGGGGAAGAGCAGTGCGAGAACTTTTCATCCTGAAAAGATGATGGACGATGCTATGAAATGAATGGGGTTTGCTAAAATGGATTATATTTTCCCAAATTCATTTAAATTAATGAAATAAACAAGACAAAGGATAAAGGACTTTCTAAAAATTAATTAAATATTTAAGAGATGCTTATATCTATAACGGTTTTATTCTAGAAGTATTTTTGTGAAAATTATAGTTTAGTTCATTGTTATTCAAGTCTCCAAAAATTTTATAAGCTTTATCTAACTTTTCTTTAACACTTTACATATTTTCTTTCCAACAATTTCACTTTAAGCCATGGGGAAAAAATTCTTGAAGCAAGAATCTCTAGCCATGCAAATTTTCCCTCGTTTTCCTAACGTGTTCTTGTTTTTATTTTTTTGTGATCCATTTTGCTGACCAGCTAAATAAAAATGTAAAAACCGCGCAATGCTAACAAAATGCAGATTAAGTCAACAACTGGAGGGGGGTTTTGCTTTTCACCACCAAGGGGGATTTTTCAGCTAAAAAGAAAATAGATAGCATCTCAAAAAAAAAGATGGTAGATAGTGTTACGTTCTAGCAGATAATATGGAAATCAGGAAAATACTAAATCACTTGTTTTATTTCATTTTTATTTCCTTGTCGCTTTTGGTAAGGGAATATTTTTGGGGTTTTTTCAGCTATCTTGGATTACCATTTTGCCTGACAATTAGGTGCAAATGAGTTAGAACGCATGGCGCAAGGGAATAAGTGGGTTTCTGGTAGTTCTCTTCATTTTAGCCCGAAAATAAAATAGGAAAAAACTTTATAGAGGAAAGGTAAATCCCTCATTTTTACATTTTCCACTTCATAAAAAAGTTTTGCTTTTCCACAAAAAAAAAAAATAGAATTTCCCCTTTCCTGATTTTCAATTGCATTTGTCGGCTCACACAACGCCTAAAAAGTGTTTTTGTTTTTTTTTATTTTTGAGTTGGAAAGGGGATGACCACATCATCAAATTGCTAAAAATAAAATATTACAGAGAAAGAGCCACTGGCACTGCCGGCAGTGGGAATTATGAAAAATGCCTTGTAAAGTGGCTGAACCCAGAAAAATCATCATTAAAAATTAGCTGCACTAATTTGATGTGAAAATTGGGTCAAAAAGAAGTGGTAGTGGTGGGGGGCGGTAGCCGAGTTGATTGCCGCCTGCATTTGGCAAACAGGGGGCGTGGCTATATAGAGGGGAGTTAGTGGGGAGAAGAGCGTGTGCCAAGTCAATGAAGCCACAAATGTTTAATTGTTTGAATGCTTTGAATTAATTGAATGTGCAAGAGGCAGTGCCTCCAATTTTCCCCTCCACATCTTGCAGCAGCTGCGTTTGTTTACTCGCGCCAAAATGTTTGAAGTGGTTCCCCCCCACAGGGGGTGGAGTGTATGTAGAGTGGGTGGGCGGTATACCCCACTATTGTGTGTGTGTGTTTGCTTCTGAGTGTAGCAGCGAAGCAGAACGAATTCGAGCTAATAGACTGATTGCAAAAGTTGCAGGAAAAGCGTGGAAAAGCACAAGGGAACTTGAGGAAGACATTGCCCAAGACAGAGACAACCTCACTAGAGGGGAAAGAGACAGGAATAGGTTAGAGGCGAAGTGAAAGTGTTGGGAATCGATTTGAAAAGCAAATAAAATCGACTGCTAGATGCTTTCCAAAGGCGCCAAATAAAAGGGGTGCTGCAAGTGGGTGGGTAGACCCTAAAATAAAAAGAAAATAGAAAATAAAGAAAGGAGAACATAGCGAGGGGAGAATTCTACATAAGTGCAGTGTCAATAATTGGGCGAGAATTCGATAAAGTGCAACAAATACAAGATAAAAGTGATCCCACACTCGATTGTATAATTAGATCCAATAATTGTTTATGCCCCAAATGTGAGTTGGCAGATCGTTAAAAAAACAGCAGAGGAAATGCCTAGAATATGGCCTAGTAATACCAAAATATACACCCTAATAAAATAAATATTATGCTAATAATTTAGAGGTTTAGGAAAATTGATCATTAAAGTATTAGCTTAATGGAGTTGATCTGGAACACAATTGCATATCTTTAAAGAATTCTATACAATAAAAAAACTTTGAATTCTATTATCATTAATTAAGGCTAATTGGAATCAAACAAACATTCCACTTTAAATGAAATGTAAGCTTCAAGTTTCGAGATCAATCTAGCTATTATAGTATATATGTTCAAGCTTAATTAAACAATAGTATACAACCGATTTATTTTTCTGATTGGCTATGCCATTTGCCTGCATAATTTCATTTTTGCTTAATTCAATAAATCAGTTCTCCGACAGTTCCAGACAGCTTGACATTATAGAGGTTTGTCTAGAATTTGTAATACCCATTTTTTTCTATGCTCTTTAAATCAGATTTTGCAAAACCCTCTGCATTTTCCACTTTCTTTTTCATTTTGATTGGAGAACCTCAATACCGGCTCCTCACCCTTTTTGTTTGTTTTTTTAAATTTCTTGTTTTTTGTCCGATTTGCCCGCAGAAATTGCCACTCGGCATACAAATTAATTTGTTTTAATTGTGCCGCTCCCGGCACGTTCCATTTTCGAGATCCCATCGAGCCGATTAGCCCGAACTTTTGTTGTATTTTGATATTATTAATTGCTATGGGTAATTGTTCAGATTCAATTGAGATTTATATAGAGTAGAGTTATTGCAATGTAAAGTATTTGACAATTAAATGGGTTTCTTATTGAAGTATGCTTGAGGTATAGATACTTCCAGAAAGGCTTGGTGCAATCTTTCAATTAGGTGAAACAAAAACATTTCCTGCATTTTTTAAAGAACCCGTTAAATGGAATCTCCAAGGAGTCACTCACATCATTATCCTCCGATTTGGCGGCATTTGATTCTGTTGCTGTTGCCGGTTGTCGTTGCAGTTGCATCTGCCTTTGCCTCTGATGTTGCTCCTTCTTCCGCCGATGGGCAATTTCGATTTGCAGCCATTCGACAGGAGAGTGCTGCCCCTCCTCCATGGTGTGCAACTCGAGATCGTCGTTATGGTATTCGTTATACTGAAGTTGGCTCTGGCTTCTTTTAATGGCTTTCTTGCGGAGCTTCTTGGACATGGCTTGAGATTTATGCTGATGATGACGCATCGGCAGTGGTGTTGCCAGGAGATGCTGTTGCAGATTCTGTTGCAGCTTCAGCTCCCACGCCATCAGATGTTGCTGCTCGTGTCTCAGATGCAGTTCTGAACTTTTATCACGTTCTCCGCTCAAGTCATCAGACAGGCGTTGCCCCGGCAACACCTCCTCTTCCGAGTCGGCCTCCTCCAGCCAGGCATTCCTGGCCAGTTGATGGTCATTAGCGTTGGCTGGCTGCCACAGAGAGTTGGCCAAAATCAAGGCTAGCCACAAACTCTTTAACTGCATTTTGTTCAGGCGCGTTTTTTCTAATTAATTGCCTGACACTATTTCGAGTGCTCCCCTTTTTTTTGTGTAATTTTTCTATGTTTTACTTAAAAAATATCCAACATATGGCAGCTGAGAAATATCTTAAGATTTACACAGATTTTTAAAGATTTTTCTCAACATTTTGCGGTCTGTGTTAATGCGACAAGAGGGGCATAAATCATAATCCAAACGAAGCAAACTGTGCCACGCACGCACAACAGATATTTCGTGAATGAAAAAACCGCTTTGTAAATTATTTGGCTTTAATTGGAGGCCAAAAGAATAGACTGACAGACAGCCGGACGGATAGGAAATCGGCTAGACAAAAAATTGATTGCCAAATGCCAAGTAGTCTGTCAGTGTGTAGTTTTTTGGAGCTTAAAATATTGTTTGGAACACACAACGAGCTAAGAATTTCACAACCGCAGATATTCACGCACTAACGGATGTAGATACAGATCCACTTGAAGATACACAGATACAGAGACGTCTGAGTCACTTGAAAAGCCAACGACAACTGACATCTAGCCGCTTGCTAGCGACGATCCACAAGTCGTGGGCAGCAAATGTTGCAAAGCTATATATATTTCGATATTTCCTTTAAATATCGATATTTCCTTTTTTCCTTTTTTTTTTTTTATATAAAAAATATAACATTTTTATATTTTATTGATAAAATTGTACTCGCATTGTTGGAAAACTTCTCAGGGATTACATTAGCAACATTTTTATCTTGCCGCTTGGCTTGTGGAATGTAAACAGACAACAGCTGACCCGAAGCAACATAAACAAACCTTGGGAGTGGAAAATTCGAGTTAAGAGAGCCTCCAAAGAGTCAGAAAGAGAGCGGCGGCGCGCACATGGCAATGCAAGCAGCATGTTGCTGAGTTCATCAACCGCCATGTCAGCAACATGTTGCCCTCATTTCTACACATTGCATTTTCCAGGCCCGCCAATTGCATTTTTTGATTGTTTGTTCAACTAATTCAATAGCTCTGCATCGGGGCTTTTCCTCTTAAAAAATTAACACTCCCTAACAGCGGGAAATCGAACTGTTTAATGGCTTTTCGCAGTGCGCTTTTGATCTAGTTCGGATAGTGAAATTGCTCCACAAAGTAGGTGCTGCCATTAAATGGCAATAATCTATAAATTAAAGGTAAGGTGCACCTGGTTTAATGCCTTCTTTAGAGACTCCATAGAGTTAAGGAATTTTTGTGTTTTAAGCTAAGTAAATGGTATTAAATATCTTTGGCCCTAATTAGTTCATCAGATTTTAGGCTCTCCACGGTTGTGGTACGCAAGACACTTCAAAGGAATTTGTGTTATTATCTCGGCAGGTTATCTCGCCACCTCGGCACCTTTGGGGCGACACATTTGGCACCTGCCGCTTTGGCAGATTCCAGGGATTAGGACTCGGTCACGTTGATGCTTGTGCTGACGCCTTGCAGTGTTTGCTTTCCACTGCAACTGCGCTAATTGTTGTCAGCCAGTGGGCCGGCAGGATGATTGATGAACTCCACAAGGGCATGGCTAGGCCAAGCTGGCACGCATCAGAATCCACCTGCCCAGCTGTCCACCGGCCCTGGAATATTCCCTCCCAGGAAAAAGATCAGCATGGGATCATGATGAGGTGTTGCCCACTTGCACTTAATTGCACGTTTGGTCGGACGAATCAACGCCCAGGCCAGAAAACCGCCAAAGTCAAAGCCGAAAAACGCCCCTGGAATGGGCTGGCCACTGGTACACTGAGAGAATTACACTTCTCACTTGTGTAAACACCTATGTAACTTTTGATTTTAAGACTCAAATAGTAAAAACTTTTCCCCAAGTGTAATCTCTCCGAAAGAAGAGGATGCCCCCCACTGAGTGGCGATGGCGACTAGCGTGGAAATTTATGTGGCCAGTTGGCCGCGGCTAGCAGAGCTCCACAGCGAGGGGGGATGTGAGGAGGTGGGGTGGTTCAGCGGGGCAAGGTGGCATTGCTGTTATTGCTGCCGCTCCTGCTGTTGCTGCATAATTGATAAATGTTTACAAATTATTATGTTGCACATACAGCAGCGGTGCCAGCAGCAACAACACACCGGCAGAGGCCACCCAGGCGAGGAGGCCACACCCCCTTATCCACCAGGAGCAGATTCTCTAGCGGAAAATCGTGTGGTGAAAGCAGAGAGCTTGTTGGTGTTTATTTATTTAATTGATTGTTTTTAAAAGTATAAAAAATAATATTACAGAATACCCTCTCATGGAGATATTAAAATTAGGGAGTAGGGTGTAATTTTAAAGGAGTAACCCCCTTCTAGAGAGTATCATTATAGTCGCATCCTTTTGGTCCAGCTTTCTCCATTTCCCCCTCTGTTTGTTTTGGTATTTTGTCTGGCCCTGGAGCCGTTTTTTCTCACGACAAGGCGCCAACTGCATATTCATTTAATTTCTGTTCTGTTCTGTTCTGTACTGGCCGCTAATTAAAATGAATCCACGTAGACAGGCAGAAAGGCAGACAGGCAGCTAACGGGCTGAATAAAAGGCGAAAAGGGCCAAGGGAACGGGAGCCAGTTCCATTAGCTGTGGATACTATACCATTGTGTAATGGATCGGTGGTGAGCTGTATTTATAGCAAAATCATTTTTCCATTGAGAGCGTATTAAGCTGCTTCAGTCGGTGGTTTTCCACATTGCCCTTGGCATTAGGCATTTTTGCTTTTGTTTCACTTGTCTTACAGCTTCGATTTTTATTTACTTTTATTCTTTTTTTTTTTTTCTTTGCTGCCGCATTCAATTTGGCTAAGTTGCCATTCGATTTTCCCAAGACCAGAGGAGGTGGAAATTGCAGAGGCAGCAGCTGCCAAAAGAAATGAAATCGAATTCAATACAAAATGCAAATGAGACCGCAAACGAGAAAAAACCGAATGAGAAATGAGACGCCAGCGAAATCATAAAAATCAAATTTGAAATTGATAGGGGAACGGGAGCGGGGCAGAACCAGGATGATGACTGGATATCACAGGATATACCACAGAAGCTGAAACTGAAAAGGAAATGGCTCAATCGACATCGAACCAAGACCATCCCCTGCTAACTGCTATGTGTGTGGCGGTGTAGGTTCCACTTTCTGACAGCCATTTCCTGGCAATTATTTAAAGCATTTAGTGTTTAACCCACGAACAATGCAGATCTATGACTTTAACCCCCCTCCAGTCCTCTCACTATGGAGGGTTAAAACTTTTCAATGCCCTAAACCGCTTAGTCCTCGGATGACGAGGGGAAAGGCAAATTGACTTAAGATAAGACTGACTGCCCGGGGCCCAAGGCCAAAGTGACAACAAACCCTAACCAGAAACAGAAAAACAAAGTCAAAAAAAAAGGGTGCTGCCTAACCCCATTTAAAGAGCAGAGCAATTTCCGGTTGCCCCCTGGGATAGAGACAGACTGCTAGACAATGACAGAGAGGGCAGACTTCCAGTCAGCCAGCATTCAAATATTTGTCATCATCAAGTGACATCTGTTTGTCGTGGGGTTTTTGTTTCGGAGGTCCACCAGAAAGTTCGTATAGTCAAAGGTCAGTGCCTGACTTCCACTACCATAAAGTTGGTTCATTGTTAGAGCTCTGGTATAAAAGCTAAAGCTGCAACTATTTCAAACACCATTGCCCATGAAAAATGTAGCATGAAATAGAAGCTCTTCAAAAATTGCCTCACATAGATCATTCTTGCTTTCACAATGCAAGTCAATCGATTGTCAGCATGACGAAGAATTTGCATAAATCTCACAGTTCAGCTGCCACGCCCCTTGCCATTCCGAATGGTGGCTTATCGATGGCCAAGACCAAGGCAGAAGAACGCCAGTTGGAAAGGTGAAAGGTGTGTGTAGATAAAAGCGGCAGGGAGATGCATCTTCCAAGGGAGGGGAGGTATTTTTAACGAGCTCCCAAGTTCTCGGTTCACGGTGCTCGCTTCCCAGGAAGCTGCAACAATTTTCAACGGAAAATGCATCCAAGGAAAATGTAAATAGCCAACAAGAAAATACAATAAAAGCAAACTCTAGCTGAAAATCCAGCTGGAAATGCAGTCGAGATTCCCCAATGTCCGCCCAAAAAAAAAAAGATAAAAACTAAGGAAAATACTAAAAGACCCAATGACATAGTTTGCATACTCTCTCAACCGAAGAAGCAGGAAACATTTAAGGAGGAAATCCATAGTCGGGGGGAAGGAAAATCTAAAAAAGGGGCCAGAGTGGCAGAGAGGCGGAGACTATTAAAGCGGCATTTGCAGCGTGTTGAAAGGCGTCGAGGCTGCAATTAGCCGAGGCGCTCTTCCTACCAGTGGGGGGAGGCGGAAAAACAAGTTGGTGCATCAAGTTGCGTGTGGGGCATAAAAATAGAATTGCATCTATTTTTGAGGAAACCTCAACAGGGGGACTAACTTTATGAGGTCCACCAGGTAATTTAAGTAGGAGGTGGATCGGGAAAACTACCTTCCAACCTCCTTCTCTTATGATCATTACATAACAAGGTGGTTCTATGAGTAACTACCATTAATGATGAAAAGCTTGCAGATTTTTCGTTGACCTTTAAAATAATTATTATTAAACGTTTATGGTTATGTTCCAGCTTATGCTTTAAGATAATATCGGTTACAGTTGGCCGTTTTAGGTATTATCAAAATAATATCTTAAAATGAAAATTAAAAAAAAAAAGTTTATCATAATTCAAACTAGATCAACTTAAATAAAAAAAAAAAAAAACAACAATAAAAATTACAACAACAGAAAGTACAACAAAAAAATTTACAACAACCAAAATTAAAACAAAAAAAAAAATTTTTTTTTTTAAATAATTAATTATCTGATTTTTTGGGCCTGCTTAGGTGCAACCTATGAGAATCGAGGAGGAGGGCACTTTTTTAAATAATTTTTTTTTTTTTAATTTTATTGAAAATCTAACAAATTAAAGCATCTTTTACAATGATATCATATGAAAATAAAAGCTAAAATTTGACTCTTCAATACTATTTGACTTTTAAGCGTCCTTGA